CCTGTGCTCTTTACTTTTAAAAGTATGGAACGGAGTTATAGCCCTAAGCTTCCTTTACTTATGAGTGATTGGCTGCTTACGGTTTATATTTACTCCAAAGCTTTTGTTTGTTAAATATTTACAACTTTGTGGCTTTTTTAATACTATAAAACTTTTGAAAATTTAATCTGTAGAAATGTCTGATTTTGTTTTGAATCCTGCTAAGGACTTTGCTTCTGATGCTTTGTGAAAGTGGCTTTGAGAAGCTAATTTTGCTTGGTGGAGAGGAGTAAAATGCTTCCTTTTCCAGTTTTGAATTTGCCATGTTTGCTTCATTAGAAATCCCATCCCTGGATTTTGAAGCTGGATGAATCAAAGTTACTTCTTTGTCCTCATATAGCATTTTTGCTTTATGTGCTTTTATCATATCTCCTCTTACTTATCTCTTCTCTTAACAAAAAACCAAAAAGCTGATCTTTTCAGCGTCATCTGTTAACATGTGAAGATTTGTGCTGTGTCCTTAATGAAGCAAACTGTTATTCTTACTGCTCCTTTTTCTAAGATAGAATAGGAGATCCAAAACACTTCTGTGAGGGACCACCACCTCCTGACTGATCTTGCTCAACACAGTGTCTTGCTGCTGGTTTTTGCATTATTTTGTTTTTATTGTCAGTGACCACAGCTCTTCCCTGTGTTCTCCACAGTAGCACCCACCTGGACTGTTGAAGCTAGTGGTATTTTTGCCCAGGAGTTCACTGGGAAGATGATTTCAGCTTTAGGATGTTTTCTTCAATTAATTTGAACGTGTTGCATGTGACTAGTCAAAGTACTTTTTCCAGCAGTTATTACTTTGTGTTTGTCAGCGCTGAATACTTTTCCTTTAGACTTCTAAGCCATCCTTTTATCCTCATACCCTGTGGGATGAGAAAGTGACTTTTTCTATTGCTGCTGCGACCATTAGAGTGCCTGGCGTACAGCAGGCGCTGCTTCGATAGACACTGCCTACGTGAATAATGAAGGAAAGTCTCTGTGCCTCTTTCTGGTACATTCAGTAGTTTATTATAATCATGGGCCAATGGTGTGTTTAAGAAAAAACCCAACTCACTCATGAGTTGATAAATCAAAAGGCACAATATTAATTTTGGCCTCAAACTTCCTGTGATAGCGGGCTTCACAGAAAACTTGCTTGGAACCAAAAAATTGCATGTAATTTTATGCTACGAGTCTTAATGCACTGCTACAAACTACTTGATTGTTTGTAATCTTAGAAACGTGTCCAGTCATGTAGTCTTTATAGACTCCGGTTGGCCCGATATAGTTGCTCGTAATGAGGAAACATAGGTGGCTGAGTCCAGGCACAGGCAGCCCCAAACTGTCTTGCATGTCAGTGTACCAGGCTGCTAAACGACTCGACTTTCCCTCGGTGGGGGAAGGCTGAGTAAGGCTTACGTCCCTGCAGGGCATATTAGTGCCCACTAATTGAGGCTATGTACCTCAAGAAGTCATTCAGAGTATAAGAGGAGGTTACTGGTGTTAAACAGGAGCCTGAAATGAAGGTCCGTGACGCTTCTAATGCTGCTGTGGGATCCTAAGGAGTCTCATAATTTGTTCTTTCAAATTTTCATCCCTGTGTTGTATTAGTGCCAGTGATCATTGAGCTTTGTACTAATGATGTATGTACTACAGAGCGCTTTCAGCAGATCAGGGTCCAGTATTGAATTTTTCTGCCAGAATGGCAAGAGAGAGGCTTGAAGAAAGAGTAAAAAGCACGCCTGTGATTTCTAACGAGGAACTTCTTCCAAACATGAGGGAAATCATTGGTGAAAGCTGGCATCAATAGACAGCTGAAGAAAAGAACTGATATGGAAGAGCGAAAGTGTCTGAGAAAGGCTTAAAAATAAGGTAACTGGCTTACGTTTAATGTGAAGGAGGAGGAATGGGACAGACTGTTTACACCAGCCTTCTGACTAGTAAAGGGGGGGCAAGACTGTATGTCCAGGTCACAGAGAAAAATATTGAAGTAATCAAGGAAGGAGACAATGGAAGGTTGGTTGAGAGTTTTCACTGTGCATTCGCAGAAAAGACTATCTTGAAGATGGTTTGTGGAGCTAAATAGCAGGATTTAGATAAAGGTTGGATTTGATACTGTAGGAAGGGTTGAAGTTGATGCTGAGCATAGGATTTGTCATCCTGTTGTGTACGATTACCTAGAAAAGGCTTTGAGGGGGGATTTGCCGCGGGGGCAGAGGAAGAGAAATAGCTCTGTTTTAACAATATTGAGCTTGCTCTAAGCTAGCTGCTCTGTTGACCAGTTGTTCAAAATTTCATGGCTACACTGAAAAGGTGAATCAGTAATCAATTTGTCCTTTGGGGGAACAAGTATATATTATGAATATTAATTTCCTAATTGTAATATTGTGTGTTATGTGACTTGTTGCACCGTTGTTGTTTGATGCAATTACTATTTGAAGTGTGTTTCAAAGTTCTTCAGTGAAATAAGCTCCAGTATAAAGTATTAGGATATTATTAAAGCAAAATAAAGGTATTTTTAAGATTGAATGTAAAGTTGTTTTTGGATATTACTTTGGCTGTAAACCTCTGATGCAGAAAAATAAAATGTTTCTTCAATCTGTTGGTTTACTATTGGGAAGGTGCAAACCAATGGTGATAATGCATAGTACTATGAAATAGTGTTGATGAGGCTTAGGTATAAAAATGATAATCTTATTTTCAGCAATAACTCAGAAAAGAATTGTAATGACTCACCAGCAGCAGTGACAAATAGTAAGAATTCATATGACGCAAATATTAAAATCCTAAATGTCTTAGATCCATTATTGCGTTTGAAAAAAAGGCTGGTTTTAGAGGAGTAATATCTACCCCAAATAATACTTTTATTTTATATGTTTGATTTTATCTTTATTTTCTTAAGGAAAATAAATGTAGAAAAAGTAGTATTTAAAGTGTTCCTGCTATATATGTGTTCCAGACTGCCATAAAACTGCAACCTTACTTTAATAAAACCTTACAGATTAGGAGTGTCTTTTTATGAGATCCTACAGGCTGTATTTTGACTTCAGTAATGTATATGCGTTTCTGAGATAAAATCAATACAAGCTTCATTCACACAGAAAAGAGCAGGATTTGACTTTCTTTGAAAATATGTTAGAATTAACTTGATGAGATTTGAACTTTCCCTTCCTGTTGATATGGGTGTCCATAGAGTTGAATTATAGCTAGTCAGTTAAACCAGTTTTGGCTCGCAAGTGATGTTTTAGTTCGAGATGAGGGCTTTCTACTCCTGCTGTCACTTGCCTTGAGCATGAGCCCCGCAGCTCCAGGGGTGCTGGGCTCAGCTGCTGCGGGGGGCAGAGCAGAGCACCCCAGCCGAGAGCTGTGCGGAAGAGGGTGGGACTGAAATAGGATTCTGGGGGTAGAAAGGGTCATCTGGACCTTCTGAGGCGAAGACAAGGTAAGGGGTCTACGCTGGCCGTAGCAGTGGGTTTCCCAGGGGATAGAGGACTCTGGGTGGGACGTATTCACCCCTCCCCGTGTAATGTTCTTCCTATTTCTGCAGAATGATATGTTGCTATACAGGAGGAGTAGGATAGTCACGGTGCTCAGCCAGGTCCAAGTGTTGATCCCAAAACTATTAAACTAAGTTACCGTCTAAATATCAAGTGCCAAAATACCTTCACTGTAAATAAATACTATGCCAAAACTTACAGGCCTTTCTTAGGAGGAAGCCCTGAAATTTTGGTTCAGTGGGAGTCTCATTTTCAGGCTGTGTAAAACTTACAAGGAAAATGGTGGGTATGTGTGATTACTGCTGATGATTCTTATGGTACTACAGTGCTGGTTTATATGAATGGGGGAGAATGGGACAGATTCATCTACTTCTGTTCTTCACGTGAATAAAATGGAAAACAGTAATCACACATTATTAGTAAAACTCCAAGGAGTTCTTCTATGATAATCTTCATTTCCATTTTGATACGTTATAAGACACATTAAACAAAATAAAAAGCTTGAGTGCTGCTTCCACTGCCTTCAGTCTGATTTGGCTGTTGCTTTACTCAGAAGCAGGATTATGCCCATATAACTTTACTCTAATACTGCTTACTTTAACATAAAGCGAATAACGATGGGGGAAGCATCAATGTGGGGCTTTTTTGTTTGTTTAAGAAATAATTTTAAGAATTTGTAGCTAGTGCTCAGAACTGCTCCTGTGGGTTTTCCTATGTTCCTGTGCTGTCTCCTTGTTAGGTTTCTTTCTTTTTTTTTTTTTTTTAAAGTAACTTTCAATTATCCGAGAGTTATCCTCTGGGAATCTTTTTTGAGACTTCCAAGAATTGCGGTGAAACCCTCTGCTTGCTACTTTGATGGAAGTGAGGAAAACTATTTGATCATGTTGCACAAGATTTCTGAACAACTGCAAACAGTTGAAAACTCAAGATCCTTCATTTTCAGTGTCATTAAAAGCAGAGTCCCCAAAGGATAAAATAATAGATGTGGGATGAACTTAAGTAGCAAGTGGGGAAAGCAAACAGAAGGCCCAGTGCACTGTAACTATACTTGTTTGTGTAGGAAATTAAAGTGATCTCAATTTCATTTAGGTCACCTCTCAAAAGAATGTACAGGAAAACTGATAATTTGCTAAAGGATTTCCTTTTGGATTTTCAGTGGTATGTTTGGTTTCCATAACACTGCTGTTTTGACCTGATGAACACAGCTGTAAGGCTGAAGATTAGGTGTTAGGGGATGGGTTTTTTTTCAGCAGTAAAGAAATGTGGAGGCTCGTGTGTTGGCTAGACTGACGTTTGTAGAAATGGTGCAAAAATTGTGTTTATGGTATGCATGAATATATCCAAAGAATAGACCTTACCAAAACAGCTCTTCTGCAAGCATTGCAAAAGAAAACAAACTCAAGATAATGATTTATTTCGGTAAAGAAGTGCTTTTTATGCTTGTTAACAAACAGATTTTGGATTATTGCCATCTCTTTTTGCCTTTTGATACAGGAATCAGGAACTTAAAGAGTTGGGAGAGCTTGCTCCTCACTGGGACAATATGCGTAAAAATGTTATTGCTCACTGTGATCAGATGTTGAGCTTGTACCAGGATACTCTTGCAGAGCTCGGGAAGCATACAGGTATGAAAGTAGCCTCCCCTTTCTTGGAGAGGTTAAGAATTAACTAGGTTAATTGCCATTTTGTACTTGAGTGTTCAGCAGAAATAAAACACAGAAAAAATGAAATATGTGTAATCTTTGTATTTCAGTGATACTCACTGGTGCCCTATTTCTTTTTTTAACATGCACTCCAGCAGATTTTTGCAGTTAACGTGGTACATGGTTATACAGCAGCCAAAAAAGTCGGAAAAGTGGGTGTGCCTGTTTTGTGTGCACGTTCACTTGAATATAGTGCTCTGCAGGTATTGAATACTGTCTGCCAACTGAAACCAGTTAGTTTCAAGAAACTAACTCAAGTTGCATTTAACAGTATAACAGTAACATCTAGCTGTGATGTGCATATCCTTAGTGTAGTAGTCGTCGCTGTCCACAGCGTGCCAGAAAAGCACAGTATTTATATAGGACAGGCAGTCTGTCATCGTCCAGAAGTAGATCTGTATACTCTGCCTGCTCGTGCGCTACGGAGCGAGTGCTCTTGTACTCTGAAGTGCACCAGGTGCTTGTTCTGTAAATATCTGGCAGGGTCCTGTGGTCAGGGGCTGTAATGCATCATCACGTCTGCGTGCCAGTTAAGTAAGACAGCACTGGTGACAAATGTGCAGAGAGGGCATCTGGTAGTTTCCTCCAGTAGGAACTCTCGCTCATAAAAAGAGCAAGAGATGACTGCAGAACAAATCATTTGTTCCTTTGAACTTCTTTTCTTTTGATGGTCCACAAATCACCCGAGGACAATTCTTTTCTATTTTTGAAACTATTGGAATTATTTTCAGAATAACGCGCTATTATTTTAAGCAAATGAAAATTTGTCTGTTTATAACCTGCTTTTACATATGGGCACCCGAACACCTTCCTGAAAGGAAGCAGGCCCGCTTGTTCTCAATGACTACAGAGCCTTGTTGTTGTTGCTGCGTTCTTGCTGGTATCAGATTTGTGATGCCGGTGCTCACACTTCCCATCTCAGCATGTGTTTTCCATGACCGTGCTGCCATTATTGCTTACGTATGCTTTTTCGCTCTATATTCTCTCACAAATAGGTGTTCCCACTAGGGCCTTACTCCTGCAATTTTGTGTGTGGGCATAGTAATGCATGTGAGAAGTAAAAAGGACTTTGTATATTGTATTACGTAGATGTACGTTTGCAGCCTGGAGTATTTCTGAAAAAGGGATACTTCACAGGTATGAATATTTGTGAAAATGGAGGTGTAAGTGATAGTAGTATATTAGTTTTGAAAAGCCATTTGCATAGGGAAGACTTGCAGTATTTTCTTAACAATTTCTAGCTTCCTACATAGAAGCCTGTTTAAAAAAAAAAAAAAGAGAAAAGAAAAAGACCTTAATATATGTTGTGAGAAGTGGAGCAATGAGTTTTTAGTTCAATATGCACAGCAGAATAATTTCTTTTTATACAGATTTGGGTGCATTGCTTTTATTATAATGTGTATGTCGCGTTTAGTATTTGCGACACAGATCCTTCTCTTCCAAAAAATGCATTAAAATTGTGCTTTTGTCCTTTATCCATCATCTTTTAATACAGGACTGAGCATGGTTTTTGTCATTCCAGATTGGTCTGAGATAACTATTCTTGGTCCCAAGGCAAAAAAGGAAAAGATAAATCCTGTTTTAGTCTATGAGCAAAAGATGAGCTTTAACTGAACCCAGACATTTCAGGAGCAGTTGATCACCCGCTTAAATATGTGTGTATGGGGTGGGGGGGGATGGAAAGCTCATCTGTTACACTAAATTTTGTATGATCATTTGCATCTTAGGTGCAAAAGAATAATTTAGTCTTATTCATGATTGTTTGCCATCATCAGAATATTGCAGCTCTGATTTTGGCAGAGTACCACCTGATCCAGCATGAGAGTTCCTATATTTCTGTGCTTTAACAAATTTATGGGTTTTTTTATGCTTTGCTAATTACATTTTGAAAGCATTCCATAGAGCATCATATACAAGGCAATAAATACAGATTATGAAGGAATCAATGTAATAATTATCTCTTGCAGGAAAATATTGAAATCACCTTTTGAGATTTAAAAAAAAAAAGACAATGTAATCTATTAAACATAAATCCTGAAAGGTCTATAGTGTGCCAGGTGAATTTGAAAAGGGTTGGTGATGTTTACTGACTTGTCTTAACTGTGCTTTGAGGTAACTGCAGTGGACCTAGGGAATCCAAGATTACTGAAGGAGGACACATGTAAAGAGAGCAGTAATCTTCCTCTCTCTCTATAAAATCAAAATAAAGACAAATAATGGTAGTAAAGGTGAAAAATAATAATTAAGGAGGGAAGTTGGAAGCCAGCACTCAAGTACATACCTAAATCTCATTTCTTTAGCCACCTTTTTTTTCCCCCCACTAATATTAGTGGGAAAACTTTCCAATAACGGGGAAGTTATTTATTTATGTACGATAAAAAACCCTTCTTTTTCATCTTGTGCCAAAAGTTACTTTAACATTTGAAAGCTGATTTTATTGTAATCAGTGGGATACGTACACGTTTGAAAGCCAAACAGTACAGTCTTTTTAAAGTAAATGTTGTCGTCTTTGTACTTTATAGTAGGTGGTATAAAGACCCCTGTACTATTTTTATGCTTATTTATTAAATAAATTAAATTAGATAAATTCTTTGGATAGTGAGTGTTCCTTCAGAATTGTTCCATAGAAGTCTAATGTGTTTTTGTGCACAATGTACTTAGCATTTCTCCTCAACTCTTGTACTATATTTAAAGTTGTTGATGTAAATGCATGCTTTAATTAAGTGGTGCCTTAGTTATTTAGTTGACTGAGAGTTTGTTTTGCTTTTGGAGTGCTACAGGCTAACACTGCTTTCCCTGCACCCAGGGACTTGCACCCCGATCTGATCTTCTGGGGAGCTATAGCTGCGTGACTGGTTTTAAACGTATCACCGACTTCTCAGGGCATATCCCGTTGTTCTTTGTGTGCCCTCTGTTTTTTTTCTTGGTGAGCTGTGGGGAAGCTGCCTTCTCCTTCTGGGCACCTAGTGGGAAATATGGTATAGTACTGGCAGAAAACTAATGCTGGTCAGGCTGGATGCAGGCAGAGCTGGGTGCTCTCAGGCACTCCAGTATGTTAGCTCTCCAAGTCTAGTAGAGTCATTGAAGTGGGGGTCACAGAGGTTTGTGTGGTTGAGAATGAGGAATAATTAAGGTGAAGCGAAATTAGACGCATAGTTAATCCTTCACTGAGGGCTACACAATTTGCAGCTAGACATTTTTGCTCACATCTTGGTCTAGGATGTTCTGTGGTTGTAGACATCAGTGGTAGGACTCTCAGCCTGGGGCTTGCCCAAGCGGTGGTGGCCTCCGAGATGGCTCCTGCTAGGAATCTCTTTTGCCTGCTGGGCTTGAGAGGCTAGAAATTGCAGTGCTTAACGTGGGCCCAAGGAGCTCCCTTAGGGAGGTGGATAAGAACCCTCAGATCCCGCTTCCAGTGTCTCAGGCCTTGGGTGCAGGTGCCACCTGAGCTCCAGGTTTCCCTTGAACTGCTGAGATGACCTTCACTGCTCTTGTAATATAATATCATAGAATTTTCCTCCATTTTGAAGCACTGTAGTTGGAGAAATGATACTCCTGTATGGAGGAAAATAATATTCAGCTAATAACCTTGAGGATAATGATGGATATGTAACTGAGTATTTTCACCTTAACTGTCTGTTTTACAGTTTGATACCAATTTTAAAAATATTCTTCTGCACTCTTCTTAGTATTGAGTTCTGGGAGGAGTCTATCCCATTGACTAACTGTCTGTATATCCATTTACCAGTCTACGATATGTCTTTAATCACAAATTTAATTTTATTTCAAATCCCTCTCAAAAAAATGTTAATTTCATTTTTTCATCTGAAAGATTTTATTGTAAATTGGCTTGATGTTCTGAAGTCTAGTACTGTAGGGTGCTGAGTACCTTTTGCAAAGCATTATGCCCTCAATGTAAGCACTCAGTCTGCCTTGCTTAAAAACTGAAGCCAAGAAATTGTCTATGAATATTTCTTATGCTGTTAAATTTTACAGCATGTATTAGCTTAAAGCTAACATTGCAAAACTGAGCAGAGGCACCTCATCTCATCACACCAGTGCAGTGATGATGCCAGTAGTGTTTCTCTATCATCTCTGAGCGGTGTTAATGTATGTCCAATTTCTATCACAATTACGTAAGGTTAGATCTCTGCCTAATTGCACACTTATTTCTCTTTTTAGTAGCATTTTGTTTAATTCTTGTAAAATTTTCATTAAGCTGGTGTGTTTTCTTGTAGCTTTAGTGCTAGAGAGGTATGGGAGTATGTTTAGGCTTACTATAGGTTTTTACATGCTTCTGCTGACCATTACTTGCTTTTAACCAGGTTTTTCTTCCTTGAACACTTTTAACAAGTATATTGTAATTATCTGTGAAACAAAGATTAATCTCTATATATGGTTTTCAGAAGTTTGTCCCCACTCCTTTTTGAAAGGAGTAGCATAGCCATGTGGATTGAATTGAATGCGTATTTTAATATGTCCCACTTCCTACTCTTTCAAATATGCAGGGGGAAAAAAAACCTAAGAAATGGAGGTATTTGATATTTTGTTAAAAAAAATGAAGAAAAAAAGAAAGAGGGGAAAAAAGGGGAATGATAGAGGGCAAGAGAGCGTCCCGGGTCTCTGTGGTCAGCTGCAAAGAGATAATTCATTTACTGTTTTATCTGAAATAGAGGGAGTTGTAGGGTTAAAAAAAACACTTCATTGTTGTCCAGAAAATTGCTTCTATCTGTAACGCTGAAAACCGGATTTTGCTGAAATCCTGAAGCCTTTTTCCCACAGATAAAGCGTGCTTCATATTCTGAAACATGCTTACAATATTGTCTTAGTAAATTTAGTAAGACAGGACAAGTGGGATGGTTTTTCTGTATAAGCTGTACATATTATAACTTAAAAATTACAAATGTAGTAATGAAAGCAAGACAAACAGATGTTATTACTTACTGTAGTTGCACAAAAGCAACATTGAGAGAACGCTGTAGAGAATGCAAATTCAAGTACTCACAAGATAGAAAATGCTAAAATTAGAGATGTGGGTACAACTTCAATTCAGTCTCTTCAAGTATTTATATTTCAACGCGTTCTTTACTTTCCCAGTGTCATGGATTCACATGAAAAGAGATATCACTTTAGAGTTTGGCCTTTGTAGTCTTCTGGAGTTACATTAGGCAGTGTGTTGCCTGAGCTTTGTATGAGGCTGTTCCCTTCCTTCTGAAACTGAGCCTGAAAGTTGCCGTGCCCAGGAGTACCTGTGCAACTGCGTTGGACACCTGGATCTGCTCCCACGTGGGAACCAGTCCTAGCAGGATTAGCTTGCAATCAGCAGCACTTATAGCTAGGAACCTGACAAGGTTGCTTTTCTAAATTAGATCAGGCTTCTGTTATCTGGCTCCGGATGCAAAATTTCTGACGCAGCTTGCTGTCTTGTGAAGCCTCAGTTTTAAGAGGAGGCCAACTGGCTGCATTCCCCTTGGAAAGCCATGGAGTGCTTTCACCTCTGGCTTGGCTCCTCTACCAGCTGTCCAGCCAAAGGTGGAGAAGCTGGCAGGGGAAAGCACCGAGGCGTTGACAGCTGCTCTTCTCCCTCCTTGGCACCTTAAAAGCAGGATTAATGCTAATATCACTGCTTTGTTACTAGCTGAACGATTGCTTGTCTTTAAAAAGATGCTTTTGCAGATGTAGATTGTCACAATTCTGAAGGACTGACTCCATGTAAGTCAATTAGATAAAACTGTCTCCAGGCTCCATAGCTTCAGGGAAGACTTTGTTCCCTCCTAGGCAACATACAGAAGGGGAGATGCTATCTGTAAATACAGTTTTCCAAAACATTCCCCCACTCCTCTCCTGTGAGCATATATTGTATTTTCCAGGAAATACCAACTTCATTCTGAGCTGGGCTCTTTGCACGTTTAACGAAGGAGGCTGTTTTTAGTAGACCACCTCGTTTATTTTGGAAATTGAAAGACTGCAGTGAAAGTGTTGGGAGATTGCATTAGTGTTAGACAGCAGTTTTGGTTTAGTAGTATAGTTGCTCAAAATGGACATTTAAGAAAGTTAGGACTATTTTATATTTATACTGTTTTTGTGAACACTTTTATCCTCAAAAATGGGAGGCAATTTTTGGAAATATTAAGTATTTTTGTTTCAAAATAATATTATAACAAAATTTTGAAAGGGTTAGGTGACAACAAAACAAATCATTTCAGGTTGATCTAAAACACATCTGGTGATTTTGGGAGGGAGTAGAACTTGAAACTTTTTTTATTTTAGTTTGACCTGAAATGATTTTTTTTCCTGATTTTTGTTTTTTTATTTCCATTTCAGTCATGAAACTGAAAATTCTATTATTCGTCCAGCTCCAGAAGGAGAAGAAAAGACGATCAAGGTTAAGGCAATTGAATATTGCTCTGGAGAACTGGACACTATCCCTGCCTCTGTCACAAAGTCCCTATGTGACACTAGGCAAGTCAGACTTTTCAGAAGTGATCACTGTGTGGTGTTCTTTTTTGGAAGCCTGACAACAGTCCCAGGCTCTATTTTGCAGAAGCACTGAGTACTTATGGATATGACTCGAATCAGTGGGAGCTGTGCTTCCAAAATACAAAGTGCTGTCTAACTGCGCACTCTACAGGATCAGATCCCCCCCCATCTCATATTAATGCATTGTTTTTTAAATGCTTCAACCTTTAGTTAATTCCTGCCATTAAGATGGGTGAACTTATGACCTTTTATTCAGCCACTTAAAATTATTCTGTAAGTATTTGTAGAGCCCTCAGACTATGATGATGATGAGCCTGATGGCCAGGTTTGAGGAAATGAATAAGCATATCTTTGTAGAAGGCTTGAGTCCAGGTAACAAAGTAACAGTTGGAAGCCTGATATTGAAATGCTGCTTTCAAAGCGAGCACCAAAGATCCTACATGTTGAATGAGCTGGAAAAAGCTAGTAGGCAATATGTTATTAAAGTCTGTTTCATGGTTCCTATTCAAGTGAATGTCAAATTAAGGTTGCATAAACTGTCTACGTTCTGGTATTTCCCAACTTCAAAGAGTTTAATATTGCAGCAGTAATAACTATTGTAACAGGAGGATTTTTGTTTTCTTAATCCTTAAGTACAACTAACTTGGTTATTTAAAAGAAAAAAAAGAATAATAAAAATGAATTGTATTGTGTAGATGATATTGGCAAATGCAGATTGAAATCTTAATTGCACTGGATGGATCTGTCATACCTGAGCTAACAAAACAAATGCTAGCAATAGGTGGTTGCTATCCCGTATGTTTCTGGTATCGGAGGGGCAGGGATTCTTGCTTCACAGGTCTGCCACGAGCAGAGAGGAGTGAAAGGACTTGGGAATGCTGTGCATGGGCTACTCTGGCTCTGGGCAGTGTGTATGTATGTGTATACGTGTGTGTGTGCGCGCATATATATATATATTTTTTAATCATAGTCTCTTCTGTTCCTGGCAGCGTTTCCTTGTCCCAGACACCATTATTGCTCCTTGAACTTTGATCTGGGTCTCAGATGAATTCCCACTGCGCTGTTTCCATTTCTTTTCTGATACAGTTCCAGTTCTCTTGCCTACTCGTCATTTTTTCTTTCGCTCCCCTTGTGGTTTCCAGATTCACGTTCCCCACTGCTATTCCTCGTTGTCAGTGACTTCTGCTTTCAGCCTGCACCCCCAGATTTCACATGAAATCTGAATCATTGACTCTACCAATTCTTTTTCTTGCTACCTTTGCTCTTAGTCTTGGTTCCAATTATTACTACTAGTCTAAGTTACTAAGCCTAGGTAGCATCCTTCATAGGCCCTCCACTCATTTAAGTATAGTACCTGTTCCTAGCTTGGCTCAGTGTAATTAAGAGCAGCCTTTTGAGCAAAAGTTTGCTTATACTTCTGTAGCCTTGGACTGGAGGGTTATCAGTGCCCTCTGGCAATATGGTTTGCATTGGGAGGCTCAAGTATGCTTAGTTCTGTTGAAATTTATGGCAGCTTCAACAGATAGCTTCTAGCAAATCTTGACTGGACAAGTCAAGTATTTACAGTTGGGTCAAACAGACAAATTTTCCCAGGGAGCCCCAACACAAAGTCCAAACTCCAAAATTTGATGGTGCCAAACCTGGGGACCGAAAGAATGGTCACCGGAACTTTTTTTCCCAATGGAAAACTTTTATTTTTCTCAGCTTTTTCTCAGCTTTTTTTGTCAGAAAAGATTGAATCTTTTCTAAGGAATTTTTTGGGGGAAAAAGTCCTGTCTGAATCAGATAAATTTTATTCCAAATGGTTAACATTTGGTGAAATGATAAGGTGCTGAAAAACTGATGTTGGTAAATGTTGGGCTATCTTAGTGAGAAAACTTCTCTTTTCTAATGTGCACCCTTTAATTTTATGTATAAGTCATATCAAATATCTTCAGGTAAATTACATTTTCATACTGTCAGGCTTAAATTAACTTCCTGTGTACTCCAGTAGTAATACTCGGTTACTCATAATCTCATTTATCACTTGGTGATATTTTTGAAGAATGCAACCAGATTTTTTTCAGAGCATTGTGCCTTTTATTATACTGGCTTTTTAAAAAGAGAACTAATTTATAGCTCTTTTTAAGCCAGTTTATGCTTCTTTGTTTGAACTTTCTAAGAAGAATATATAGCCTAGCTAATGTAATTTTTTTTTTTTTTTAAGAAAGAAAAATTACTTGATGGAAAAAGTAGTATGGTCATAGCTCTGTGCCCCTGTTTTTTAGGACAGCATAAACATAAGACACATTAACTGTGGCATCATTTCCAGCAGACTGCAGACCAATTTCAGACAACAGGAAAAATGTCTATCACCTAGAATAAAAAATTAGATTGTTCTGTGAATTAAAAGCTGTTTTGTTGCCTGCAATATGGGTACATGCTGAGACTTGGTTAGTGAACCATTCTTTTTCTAATATACAATTACACATTAAAAGTAAATTAAAGAAGGCTGCTAACATACAAGTATTGTCCTTGCATTAAAAGAAAAAAAGACAAAACATCTGCTGCGTGCTTAAGATGATGATTCTTTAAACTTTTGTTTTTCAGGTTCTTCCTTCAAATCAAGCTGTAGCAAAGGAGAAAAAACATTAGAATTCATTCCAGTAAACCTCCATCTGCAGAGAATGCATGTGCATAGTCCTCGCTTAAAAGGTAGAGTATATTCTTTAGAGATATTCCCTAAGTGTCTCAAAGTACTTTTTGAAATACAATATAACTGGAAGGTTTAGTTTCCGTTCTGGCCCTTTTTAAGCTGTGAGTATCTTAATTTATATACCTGTTTTCAAGAATGGAGATTAGATGGGCATGCTTTCAGATGAAACCTTATAACCAGAATAGGACTAAAATCTATGTTCTTAGAGAGGCAGATCTTGCTCAATTTGATGTTTTCCCATGATAGAAGGATGCTGGCAGTGGTGTTATTTAAACTTTGTAGATGGCGTATGAAGATGCTTCAGGCAAAAGCACTGAAAGTGGTAGTATTGAATTGATATTTCAGTCAATTTGTGTGCAATCAGGACTTGCGCAGATTTGGAAGAATACTGAGCAGGCAAGAAATTCACAAGAAATACAGAGACTGAGAAGGATAATTCTGGGATTCATTTCATGTTGTGTGTGTTTTGCCAACCAGTGCAATTTGTACCATATTACCTTGTGTAACGTTCGTGTGGTATGACTAGATACAGAAGATTTCTTGTATGACTAATTGTTGCATATTTTATTATAAAATCAAAATCAAGCTTCCAAGTTCATTGATTAAAAACTTCTACTACTCTACAGGCTGAAAGTGTTCGATTTTTCACTTTGATGGGCCCTAGAAACTCTCCATGTGGATATTTTCTGCCTTTGTCTTGGGTCTAAATCTGGCACTTGCCCATTTTCCTTTAGTATTCAGAAAGTACTTTTGGGTCTATAATGACTACAAGTGGTCAGAGCCTTAATTTTGTGTCTTCCCTAGAAAGCAGCTCTGACAGCAGTACATTATATGTTTGCTAAATAGAAAAGGAGATGGAAATATACCACTTACTCCATCACCCGCAACAGCTTTTACTCTACCCCAGTTTTACTTTTAGATGAAATTTCACCTTTCTTCTCCAAAGCCAGTTTGCTTGTGGGATATGATTAATCCACAAACGAAAAACAGATAACTGTTAGAATTGTCTTCTAAATTTAGAACTTTGTCTTAGATTATAAATCTCTGCCCATTTTCTTTAGAGAATGTTCGTTCACTCCCCTGACATGAGAGCTAGATAACATTGTTCTTGTTATACTCAAGATTACAGATTACAAAACAATAACGAAGAAGAGAATGTATGTTGAGATCATTGAATTTCTGCCTATCCATATATCTTTGCAAGACTGACACTTTAGTTGTAGGGAGCTCTTTTTATTTCTGTATATACGAAATGTGTTCCTCAACACGTTTAGGATATTTTGGTAGCACTATGTAACAATATAACAAAAAGTAATTAAAGATGATTATACTTTCCTTTATTAGGAAAAATTTAAATGTAAATTCTATATCTATTGCATATCTAGCTGTACCATCCATTCAGGTTACGGGAAAAATTTCGTTTTATGAGCACTGAAGGCTTGCATCTTGTATTAGATAAATGCACTCTGAATGGTTTGCAGCAATTGCGCATCCTTTTTGTGCGAGTAGCACTTTGACATGAAATTGGTCTTTCTTACTTGCCATATATTGAACAGAATCCAGAGTATGAGAAGGCAACTGACAGAAGGGGGGAAAAAATAATTAAGGCACAAAAACATTCATAGAGATTGTGATTAAACAAGCTGATGAGCCATAGAGTTGTCATTAACCCTCCCACTGTCAGACAGCTTTAGTTTTGGGATATGAGCATCTATCAGCATGTGCCCATATGGAGACATGCTTTTTGTTCAACATGTTCAGTAATAGGTTTACTTTTACTGAACTCTGATTCGGGTTGTTATTGGGTACTGACATTGAATGGAAAATACCAGCGTGCTTAAACTTCCAGGAGAATAAGCTTTGAGAAAAATATTAACTTGCTGCGTGATAACTGTGTCTCTATCCATTTGATAGATACCACGTTTCCTTTGTTCATCATACTACAGAATTTAAGTTTAAATGTTGCCGTAGTTTTGTTATACTCTTGCTTGCACATTAATCTTGCAATGTTATTATGGGCAAAGAAATGGAGAAACAGAAAATACTCAAGGGTGCTTGTTTTAAATAAAATTGGTATCCCGAGCAGACTTTCATTTTGCCTCTGTCTGCAGTGTAAGACAGCGAGCATCCCTGATGAAGGCTAGTAGGAGGCTGATACACTGTTCTCGCGGTTAAGATTTGTTGGCTTAAACTCTACATTGAGCTCTGCTTGAGGTGGGGAACCCTCAACTCTTTAAATTGGTCTGGTAAAGGTTAGGTTTACTGAACTTCTGCCATGTCATTATGGTGGTCACCATGTTGCAAAAGCTCTGTTCTATTTGGGCAGGAGGGATGAGCAGTTAGTTGATATTTCTGCATGGCTGGAGGAGTTACTGTTTGTGGCAAGTAGGTAACTGGTGGTAATGTTTCATTTGTATAACGAGGAGATGGGTATATTTTCCCGAGTCACAATAATTATTATGAAGTGATGATTTATTTGAAGCCTAATTTCCTTGCATTCTGATCTTCTTGTGTATATTCCTTCTTCAAATTCTGAAGCTGGTTATTTTGAAGCTGGTTATTTTAAGAATGTCTATTAATGAATAACTTTGGTGGATCACGCAGACAATCTTCTGTAGCTCCTACCACCCTCTGCTGTGCTTTGAGCTCCCCTGCGCTGCAGGGGGTTGCTGGCAGCAGTCCGGTCCCCAGGTGAGCGATGCTTCTGAGGTACTGGGGTGTTTCTCCAGCCATGCACTCACACTGGTGCTGTGTGTCCTTCGCTTGAAGCCATGTCAACTTGTAAACGAAGCACCTCCCCAGTCTCACAACACTTTCTTACATAGCATGCTCAGCGAGGTGGGAGTGAGACTGCTCCAGGTACGTCAGAAGCATCGTAGATGATTTCTTCTTGCTCTTTTCCCTCTCCCTTACTCTCTTGTGGTAGTTTTGTTTGCCTCATCTTAAAAACCGGATGCCTCCTTTCCTAGAGGCTTGCAGGCAACGATCACAGTGGTTTGTAGGGTTGGAGCGTGTGGCAGTGGCTGAAGAGCTTTCTCCCAAGGTTTGCAGTGAGCAGCACGGGCAGGCGTATGAGCAGGAGCGGGAAGGGGGGAGCTGCTGCTGCTGCCCCACAGCAGCAGGACAGATGGGGATCATGGCGGGGCAGCTGCTGGCCCTGGGCTCACGAGTAGCACCTGTGGCGGCAGCAGCCTGGGCTGGGGCCAGTGCCTGAGCGGGTGCAGAGGAGGCACTCAGCTGCTCGTGGGGGCCATTTGCCTCTCTAAGAGCTGCTCCTTTGCTATGCCAAGATGTGGCGCCCAGCTGATGGAAAGCTTCTCACGGGCAGACCACGCAGAGTTAGTTATGAGCAAGTTCTGCCTTGATTCAAATATGGATTCAAAAAAAAAAAAGTACACAGGTTTAGTTTTTTAAACGTTTCCCTGTGGTTTGTGAGTTATCCATAAACAACGGCATTCAGAAGCCGTTATCTGGTTAGCCTGATGGTTTCCTCTCTTATTTTGGTCTCAAGCCATTGCTGTGCAAAGCAGTAGAACTACTTATTGTCAAGTAACAGTGGAGCTCTAACTGCCCGAGATTATGTATTATGGGTAGATTTCCGTGAAGACCTGAAAGAACGGGCGATTTAGGAACCCTGAAGCTCACCTGAGGCTAAGGAAAGTATGTCACTTCTCTTTTAAGTGGTAATTGAAGAGCCACCAATGCATTAGGGTTCAAGTCAATTTGAGAGAATATGCTTTGAAATTCAGCTCCAGAAGTAAAACACAGTTCATTAACTGTGAATCATTTGTACAGTCTTCTTGCTTCTAGGGATATTTATCATCAGAATGCAAGAAAAGTTCTATTTTAAGAGAGGATTAGATTTTAATTTACTTGAAAAGCTTCCTTGATGAATAAAATAGTTTACAAAGAGAGATCCTCTAATGGTTCCTCTAGAAATACATTTTAAAAATGCCTCAATTTGACCTGTGTTTTCATACTTCCAGTGAGCTTCGGCATAATACAGGTACTGCTTAGTGCAGATGTAAATAACAGGACTTTGAGGGAATAATGATTGTGGTTTGCAGTGTAATTAAATCTTCATCTTTGCACTGAAAATCAATCACAGGCACAAAATGAAACACCCTTTTAGAAACAGTCTCTCATCTCCAGTTCAGTAAGCATATATCCATAGAAAAGTTCATCACGCCTGTCACAAGACATCAAGTACATACAGAGTAACAACAGTTTTGTGGTCTCAGCAGTGAAGATCTTTGAATAGAATAGTTTATCTCCTGTTGCGTTAACTTTTCAGCTTGAAACAACTGGCGTGCTCTTTTTTTGTAAACATATATAACAGGTAAATAAATCTTATTGAATGGAACTTTTCAATTTAGCATCTAAGAGGTACTTAGATCTGAAAGTGGAAGCTAAACAAACTCAAACTGGAAATTAAATGAGGACCTTTACTACTGAGGTTGATTAATCTTTGGAGCCACTTTTGTGGAGATGCAGTGAATTCATTGTCATTTGAAGTCTTTAAATCAAGATTAGAGCCATCTCTCTCTCTC